TATTTTTTCCTGAAATTCGAATATAATTTGTCATGGTTATTGTTTCATGGTTTTGAATTAGTTGCGTAATAAAATACTAATGCAGTTTTGATTTATCTGAGTGCTTTGAATTTTAATATATAATTTTAGTATCTAATACAGTGATATGCCATAGTGCATTTTGAATAGAATTAAATATCTCTAAAAATAATTATACGAAGCAAATAAGGATCATGATGGACTTGAACCACCATCTCTTGACATGTACTAGTACACAACTATTCTCAAGTGCTCTACCATTTGAGCTAATGATCTATTGACAGTAAAACTGTATTGTTGTAAACACACTCTTACCTTTACCCACTCTTCATTCTGTTGTTTCTGTGAGATCCCAGACTCCCTCATCCTGCAACTGTTGTTGATGTTGCTAGTTCTGCAGAGAAGTTTGAACTACTCATAACATAACTAGAAAGGGACTGCATTAAGTCGTCCTGTATTAAGGTGCTCTTCAAGTTGTCCTGTATTGAACTTAGAACACATATTATGATTAAATTTCCTAAATGTAAACTCAGATAATCAATGAACACAGATTGGCACACAAGGGAAATAAACTTAGATAATTAATGACAAGCAGAGATGGAGGGAGAGGGCAAGTCCAAGTGTTTGCACATGCTAACCTTGGGTTCAGAAAACAAATTACTTGCACCTGGTAATCACCCCTCAACCAGAGAAAACGCAAATAAATATCACCAAACCTTCAAACAAAACCATAATAAACTCTGGTTGCTACAGAAATAGTATCCAATTTCAGAGATTTTGTCACCCAAGATGGGATATCTAAAACAAATAAATCTATGCATTTTTTTTTTTCGATAATAGAATTCAACAATCTTGAAACCATTGTAAAATACAGCCCTTATTCAAATATCACAACATCCAAAAGAAATGATGTAAATATCATGATAATAAGAAAAACACTGCTTAAAAATATTTGGGCATATTACAAAGAACATTTATAGTATCCGATAGGATGCAAAATCATTCCACTCCGCAACCAATGGATCTAACATAAGCTGCTAAACTTAAAAAAACTGCAGTCAAACTACAAGGATTTTAACATTTCAGCATCAATTCTTGGCTGATGGCAAACGCTAGACCTCAAAGAAGAACAAACACTGCCTAAAAGGATTTCCTGGTAAATATACAGACAAAGATACTTGCCCACAAAACAACACAATACTATGAAAGCTCTGATGTTCAATAATCATTGGGTAACACAAATAGCTAGGGCCTAGTTAAATTTTTGTCGATTCTGATTGTACCTTTAAAATTGAATGCTATTAAATTTTCAGGCCAAGTAAATGAAGCATGGCTCACCTTAGTAACCTTCACAACAAATGCACTAGGGGTTTTCTGTATATCACCATCCTCTGGTCCATTCCAATTTTCAGTGATTTTTGGTAATCCGCGTATATGAAGCAACAATCTTTCCCTCATTATCTGAACTAGCTTCGTATGTATCTCA